TGGGTTCAAAAGATCTCACATGGGTTATCTTTCCCTCTGAATTCAGTGAAAGAAATCTGCAGTGCTAACCCACAGCAAAAGCATATGATCAGGACAATGGAGAAACCCATTGCTCTGTCTTGCAGGAATAACTCATGCACTAAAGCCTAAGTAAGCAGTGCCCCCAACAGCAACAACAGCACTGAAACTGGTGCTTTCAACAGAAATATGGAGATGCTGAAGTGAAAAACAAGAAACTTGTTTAACTTTCCCATTTCTTTGGGGTAGGTAGATAAGAGTGCAATGTAGTGGGTACCTGTTCTACCTATGACCTTGAAATACCAGCCCCTGGGGCGTGGCCTCCTGGCTACCCTTAAGATCTGAGAGGCATGTACGCCGGCTCTCTGTTCTCCTTCGTGGACTTGGATGGTGGGTACTGGCTCAGGCAGAGAAGCAGCATGGGACAGACCATCCGCCTTCCAGGACCCTACGACAGAATTGCTTTATCTTGTTTTGTGAGTTGTTCTTCCCCCAAAATAATTCCTAAATAAATAGTTTCTTTATCAATATCTGTGGATTATCTGCAATAGTCCAAGATTCAAAGATTAATAACATTTAAATTTAGATAGAAAAATGAACATAACTATTGATCTTGTAAGATAGAATTATCAAATATTAAAAAACGAACCTTAAAATTGTAAAGTTACTGTGACAGTTTTAATTGTCAACTTGAAATAATCTAGAATCACCTGGGAGAAGGGCCTCTGAGAATGTCTGGAAGGGACTATCTTAATTATATCAATTACAGTGGGAGGGAAGACCTGTCCATATGGGTGGCACCATTCCCTTTGCTTAAGATCCTGGATTGTATAAAAATAAAATGAAGGAGAACTTGGTAGTTCTTTATGGATCATGTGACCAGTCCTCACAATCTCCTGCCTCTGTGACTCCCCTGCAATGTGGCTGTAACTTGGGACTGTAAACCAAACTCTTCCTCCCTTAAATTGTGGTTGTCAGGGTATTTTTTTTTAACAGCAAGAGGAAATTAAACCAAGACATTACCTTAAAAGCATTAAGATTATCCTGCAGAAGATCAGAGATCAAGGAAAAACACACAGTGAAAACTAAACAAGAGCAAAGACACATAAATGAGCTCCTGTTTTACAGTTTTTACAATAAGTGAACGTGGGTTAGATTCAAATACAGAGACCCTCGGATTGATGACGAAGTGTGTCTCTACACTCTATAATTCAGAAGAATACACTGAGCCCACAGCTGACAATAAGATAATAAGAAAAGTATAAGAGGAAAATATAAACTAATAGAAATCAGACAAAAAAAAGAATTACCTTTCAGGGCAGCGCTACATGGCTGAGGGGCACGAGGAAGAAGAAGTGGATGCCTGAGCCTCTGTGTTTACTAAGATGACATTCACAGGAACACTGTGAGGTGTGTGTGTGTGTGTGTGTGTGTGTGTGTGTGTGTGTGTGTGTGTGTGTGTGTTTGAAATAACCAACATCATAGTTAATATACTTTCTGGCTTCA